CCCACCTGCCGCCCTGCCCTCCCCCCGCCTCCCCTGCCCTGCGCTCTCCCGGCGGGAGCAGCAAAAGCTCCTGTCCTCCTCTGGTGCGGACATGCACCAACGCTACCCACGTGTCCCGTGCCCTCTCCCATCAGCAGCCGAGGCGGGCGGCGTAGTGTTAAAATTGGGATGGTGTTTCATGTAGCCTACGCCAACATATCCGACAAATCTGTTACTCCGAAGTCAGATGTCCCTTTCACATCTTCGTCTTGCACTTGCTCAGGAATCCGCGTCGCTTCTCAACGCCCGGAGTATCGAAGCTCTTCAGAGGATCCTGTGCGGCTGCACAGAAGGCCTAAGGGATGCTCTTTAGCTCTAGAGTGCCTGCTGCTTGGCCTTTATCAAGCGCTTCCTCAGACGAGTCTATGACATGCTGGCCCCGCAGGTTCGACTGCATGCGATGCGAATCGCCGCCCTTTCTTTGCAAGCGGCCGCCGGACTGCGCTCGTCGGCTTTCCTGCGCTTGCATTGGCCTCCCGGACGGCCTTCTGAACCTTTCAACATCCAATCGTCAGCGTGGCGAGCAGAATCCGTCTCGCAAGGCTCAAGCAGGCGTTGCTTTCTGGAAGGCTTCCGGCACAAGGTAGGAAGGGATCTCGGTGGCCACATGTACTGCACTGATTGTGAGTTTAACGCTGGAGCATCGCATCTTAGTCTGCTGCACTTTTTAAATGCTGCCTCACAGACTTTCGCTCGCGAAGTGCTCGCTGCATCCTGTGAGAAGCTACAGAACAGATAAGTCTGCAGTTTCTGGAGCGGCTCCTCTGTAAGGCTCTCTTGTCATCTGGATGCTCTTCGAAGTATGCCTTTAGCTTCTCGGAATGCAAGGCCTTCGCTTGACTGCATCGCCGGGTTTGACCACACAGCACATGCTCATGCCCGGGGAATGCCTCCATCTGTAGCTCCCGTGCACGATACTTGGATATGGCCTTCTTGGTGAGGCCCCTTGCCTGATATCTCCAGCGAACAGGAGTACGTCGAGTTGTCCCACAAAATCTACAGCGTGCATCGGAGAACCGAGCCGAGGACCATGTCTTCAACACGGTAGCCTGGCACATCCCATGCCACTACGAGCCCTCCTACAGTCAAGTCGCGGAGAATGTGCAACCAGGAAGCGGAAGCGCTCGGCATCGGAGATCTGCATAGGCAGGGCCTGGAGCCCTGTGCCGGTACGGCTCTGTGCCTGAATGATCTTCTGAAGCATCGGCCTCAGGGCCGGAGGGCTCAGCTCGCTTTCAAACGGAGACAACAAAATCAGAAGATCTAGCGAGGGAGGTACTGCTCCTCATGCGTGCAGATCGTCAGCCTCGAGGAAGCTTCTGCTTTTCCTTCTTGAAGGAAGCTTCCCCTGCACTGGGTCCCTCGCGCAGTGCCGCTTTGGCCACCCCGGGCACAGCGCCCCACCCGGTGCACCTAAGACCGGCCGGGTAACAATGCGTGGTGCCAGGGGCACAAGCTTTCCGATGCAGTGCGATACAACCAGCAGACTGAGCCGCACACGTAGTCCCGCACCGACGTAGGCACATCCGCGTTCAGGACAGTGGTCACCTTAAGCTGAGGGCTTCGATCAGCCGGAAAAGGCAGGGAATCCTGAGGCCGGAACTCCTTGCAAGTCCACTCCTCTCGTGAGGGAATACTGCTCATCCTGACGCAAGGATTGGCTTCTTGGGCTTTGTGTCGGTGTCAGTTCATGCCTGCATCCTCCGGCGCCCTGGTTTGGCTTTCGCTTCGGCTTTTGCCTCATAGGAGGGCAGCTGAAGTCGCAGCTTCAGGACGCTCCGAGGCTCCGACGGGTCTGACAGGTTCGACCTCCTCATCCTTCGGATGCTGCGCTGGTGTTCTGACGACAGCATGGCTTCCCCCGGCCTCGTCTGCCTCCTCCTCCTCTTCGGCTTCGTCGTCCTGCTCCTCCTCCTCCTCATCTCCTGCATCAGCCTCCAGAGGCGGAAAATCGTGGATGTGTACGGCAACGTTTAGAGCGCCATGAGCACTTTCTAGCTGCAAGGATCACACCGTGGACAGCGCAGCATGCTGGCCTTCACTGTGCCAGCCAGAGTTGATTTTCGCAACGCGGACCTGAAGGCCAAGTCCGAGAGCACCGAATGTGCCGAAGGAGCATCATCCGCTTTTCGCGCCTGCGAGGAGTGGAAGCCGATGGCAGAGCCGATGCAACGTCCTGTCTTGACAGGGGACCACACCTTGCTGTCCTTCTTGCATCTCCCATGCTATATCCATCCCTGGTGATCATCTAGAGGAGGGGTCTGCGATGTGTGCATGTCAAGGTCCTCTGCAAGTGCATCATCTTCGCATTCCTCTTCCTCTTCCTCTTCCTCTTCCTCTTCCTCTTCCTCTTCGTCCTCCTCCATCTCGTCGTCCTCACCCTGAACCAAGGTCGTGATGCTCTGGCAGGGAGTATGACGCGCAGCATGCAACAGCCAGCCGTTGTTTTGTCGCCGAAGACACATGAGTTGTGTCTGCACTGGTCATCCAATCCTCGCATGTCTCAGTCAGAAACTCGGGGAGTGACCACAAGGCGACTCCGTTCGAGCCCGAGCCCGCCGAGCCCTGGCAGACGTGGAACGGATGTCTCACGGCAGTCTCACGCAGTCAAAATGCCGGCCTTGCAAAGCAGCCACAAAAATTCGGGCGCCCCAGGCTTCAGAGTGTTGTCCGCGAGGATGCGGCCTCGCAGTGCCTCCGTACGCTGCAAGTGGACCATGTCCAAGTGGAACCGTGTGCCGCGGTGGTCGAAAAATGCAAAGTCCGTACCACCTCGATGCGTTGGCACAACAACATAATACATAGTGTCACTACAACATACTGCAATCTTCGAGTCAGCCTCTTTAGTCTTATGCCTTTGACTCTCGGCCTGCACCCCAGTCCTCAACCAACCGATCCAGCGCATCGTGGGCCATCCCCGGCATGATCTCCACGCAGTGGGAAAGCCCGGCAAGAGCGACAACATGTCGAGCTACCAGCACATGCACCGCATCGGACTCCAGCGACACGACGTGGTGGCATCCTTGCCATGGCGAAACCCAGCCATGCTATCCCCGCTTTCTCCCTCCTTCGCCCTGCTTGAAAGTCTCGATGAAAATCATGATTCCAACAATGTAGTGCACAGTAAGGACTGGTTGACAGTAAGGGCATAGCTGTGGAAAGATCGAATCAACTGCAAAAGGGACTGAGTCTACAGTGAAAATATCAGCGCAGGGCAAGGCATTCCCTTCTGTGACATGTCTGCCAGACTCTTGTTCTGACCAAGCCGGGGCTGTTAAGTCAGGGCCGACTGATGTAAGTGGAGGTTGAGTGCATCTCATGGAGCTCTTCCCCGACATAGATCAATCATGGTCGCACATTTTAAGGCAAGGCTCTCTCACAACTACTGTAGCCTGCTCTTTCTTTCGGAAGGGCTATGGGCAGAAGGGGGTGTAGCCTGCTCTCTTTCTCTCTCTCTCTCTCTTCTTCCACACAGTCAAGAGCAGGCAGGAACCCCCACCCACTCCGCTCTCTCTCTCTCTCTCTCTCTCTCGCTCTCGCTCTCACTCGCGGTCTCTGTCGCTACGTCTCTCTCTCGGGATTAGGGGGCATGTCACCACCTCGTGCCCGGCTTTTCGGGGTCGGTGTGATACAAATAAGAAAGAGTATTACAGTATTACTTTGCACGAAGGCCATTACCCAGCCACGGACCAGTTCTCCTGAAATCACACTCCATGCTGGGGAACTAGCTAACACAACGTGATTGAACTTCCGGCCAAGCCAACCTCGTGTTGGCCAGTGTGGCACACCACACTACCGTTCTCATTTGAGGTTTCGACTTTGTCCCATTTATCGAAGAGTCGAAGAGATGTCGGTGCCTTTTGCTTGTCGACCCCCCTGGGTGATGGCAGGGGCCGGACAGCAGGCCGCAAGGTGCATTGGGAGGTTGTTCGAATCCAACAGCTAGGTGAGGCTGTAAAGCTGGGGCCTCAGAGCCGCAGGCTTGTGAAGGTGTCCTATTCAGGCTGACGAGGGTGCGACATGCCCCCCTTGGTACTCCGCCCATGTAACGTGTCAGCTTTTACCTTTGCCCTGGACCCTACCGTCCTGCACGCCAAGCCATTCGCACGCAGGAGTAGCCAACAAAGGATCCGAACTCGGCCACGATGGCCCTCTCTGGTGCACGTCGCAAAGCCAGAGACGCATCGATGACCTCCGGGGGCAAAACGCAGCTCAAAGCTCTCCGCCAAAGCAAAGCTCTGCCAAGCTCCGCCCCGGCCTGGGCCTTTGCCTCGCCGGCCACTTTGAGCCACTGGCGCTGGCCACTGGAGGCGAAGGCTTCACAGGCCTCGACCACCCCTTTGGCACTGCAAGTCCCCGTGGCTGCCATGAAGTCCATCAGCCGGACAACTTTGTGGTATCTTCGGTGCAGGAAGGCCTGCAATCTGCGAATCAGCTTGAACCCAAGCTCTCCCTCGCTCGGTCCTCAGAGCCCGTGCCTCGAAACCTACGTCCACGCGTGTCCACGGAGTCTCCACTTGCAGAAGCGGCAGACGCAGAGTGAGCGAGCTCATCATGGCCAAGAGCAAGGTCCTAAGTCTGAGTCGCATATGAAGACTCAGGATGGAGCCGTTTGCGGCCAGGGACTGATCGGCCGCAACATCCTTCTCCCACAAAGCAAGCATCATGAGAAAGCCCATCGAAACGGCATCCAGCACATGGTGCTCCGTCCTGGCACGAGGCAAGTGCCCCCAGCACTGTCGAGCATTTCTCTTCAAGGCACGGACCCGGAGGGGAGCAACAGTCTCCAGGGGCCACCTGTGAGTCGCCCAAGCCCAAGGAGGCTCTGACTTCCAAGCTGCTCCCGCAACACGGCCTTTCCCCGCACGCCAAAGAGGCCACGCAGCCCCCAAGTGACGGCCTGGAGCTCCACGAGCGCTTCTGCTGGTACAGGGAGGGAGATGGAAGAAAGAGGCAAGGAAGAGTGAGAGGGGATGAGAGGGGTGCAAGAGCCTGCTGTAGGATGCTCAAGCACTCTCGCTGCGATGCCATCCATCAGCAAGCCCTCTGAAGCAGTCATTGTGCCGGCTCTTCATGCGGAGTTCGCGAGCCCCTGAAACTCAAGCTCATGAAGTTTTTCCTTGGATGTCTGCAGTTCGTTTCTGAGGCATGACTGTATTTATTCGACACCCCCGCAGATGTTGCCAACAGTGGCAAAGAAGCTGTAGAGGCCGAGGAGGCTGCATCAGTGAATGGCCGATGCTCGTGCGCAGCTTCTGCTGGTGCCCACAACATGTTTGATGAGCCTTGGGCATCAAATTGTAGCAGGTCGGGGCTGGCAGAGATCACGGTCCAATCGAGGAGAGGGAGGCCCGTGGCGTGCACGCGGGCAGAAGCCTTGGAGTCACCCGAAGAGGGGCAAGAACTTGCGCAAAGGCCATACAAGCACGTGCCATAACCATTCCAAGGCACCTGGACCGCATTGGCAGTGTCCTGTGGACTGGGACGTGGGCTGTCACCGGTACCGGCCAGAGCGACCGCAGTTGTTGCTGTCGCATCCATCGAAGCCTTTTCTTGCGACAGCGAGGAGCTGGGATCTCAAGCCGCATTCGAAAGCTCCTGTGGAAGAGGCTCTTGAATCCTCCGAACAGCCTGAGAGCCAAAAGTTCTCAGCATTAGGCGGTGTGGAAGCGCAGGCTTGCCGGAGTTCCGAATGGCGTTGGACAGGCTCTGGCAGCCAAGCTCCTGGACCTTTGCCGTGGCCTCCCGCAATGCACAAAAAGTGAGACTTGGCCTAGGCCTAAGCAAACATCTATCTCTTTTTTTCGTTCGTCAGGGTTGTGGGCAGGGGAAGTTCCCCTACCTCTATCTTCTTCTCCAGGGCATGGGGAGTCGGTTAGACCCCCCGGCCTATTAGGCCCCCCAAGTTTCTCGGGGTTTTCAGGGGGTGTGACAAGTATACATGTATTTCGAGGGCATCTGTATATTCCCCCGATTTACATGTTTTCAGTGCTACTTTGGGACACCCAACACTGCTGCCGAAGGGATTGATTGCTTTGAAAAGGAACAATGGATACATTTGTGACAAGCACATGTAATCCCCCGGCAGGTTGATCGGATCCAGGGAGTTGCAGACCAGCATCATCTGCAAAAATAGGATACAACATTTTACACCAGTAGCCTGTCACAGGCTAATGTGGCTTTCTACCCGCAATCTCCCCTTCAAACAAAGGTCTCTCCAACACTTCCCCCAGATCGCGAAGACTAAGTGAAACACTAAAAGGCCCGACAATACATGAAGAAAGGATAGTTTTGGGGGGGATCTGTTGCAAACATGTTCTCCTCTGACAGCTGTTGTCCCCAGAGTTTGCGGCAAACAAAACACAGCCATGGGTGGAAGGACCTAAAGGCCTAGGCATGCGTACTTGTTGTGGGGGACAACTGGCTGTCTTTCCCCCAGAGGGGGTGGGACAAACTCTCCAGACAGGTCAATGCAATGCTATTGTGGGTCTGATCGCGAAGATATCACGACGACGATTGTCCCCCCATACTATCAGAAACAAGGGCACAGCAATGAGTGAACAAGCCTAGAGGCCTACACATGCGTAGCATCACTACTTTTTGGGAGGGCAACTGTCGTTTGAGCGACCCTGCTAGTGTACCGTCGTTGGACTTGTGCGAGACGAGGTGGACCACATGATCGAAGAGACTCCGAATCATCAAACCACGGATACGAAAGCTTTCATGCTGGTCCCCCTAGGATGGATTTGTGGGATTCCCTTCCGAATGCAACAACAAACCAAACTGAGGCCCTGGCCGAGAGCTACCATGCATTTGTTGTTTGGCGAAGGGGTATCTCACATCAAACTGCAGTCACATTATGCTGTCCCCCATCACTGCACACACGAGCTACCTAAATCTAGCATCCCAACACAAGCTAGCATTTCACGAGGGAAAAAGGTTCTTTGGGGACATCATCAGAGTTTCAGGTAGCGAGGGGTGGCTTTAGGATGTTCGACAACGAAGCTAAAACAATTAGAGGACTTCAGACTATGCAAAGCTTCCCCTCACACACTGGCCACACTCAGAGGCTTTCAGTGGGGCTCGTCGTAGGTTTTCAGTCCCCCTCGCACCACGTGTCCGCTCAGAGGTCATGGTCGTGGGCATGTTCCGCCATAATTCGCCGGCGTCTGTGGCTTCCATCTGACATGCTGTCCGGCGGCGTAGGGCTTCGTGGTCTACGGGTTCCCCGCCGCTCGGGGACACTTCGAGCTGCGTCCCCCAGCCCATGGTGCCTTTCTTGGTACCACCAGGCTTCAGGCGTCCATGTCCCCGGGCCAGGTCTCTCGGCTTCAGGGGTAACCGCGGCGATTCCCCTGACCAAGTTGGTGGCTGCCTCCTGGATGGTCGGCAGCATATGTGCTGGCCATCGGCGCACTTCGCTCAGTAGTCGACGGAGGGTTTCCACAGCTTGGTACCATTCGGGTACCGGCACGTCAGCACACATGAGGGCCGTGTCTACTCCCCCTTCTTGGATAGCCAGGACATCGGCGGGATGTGCCAGGGAGTTCCCCGCTATGAGGTTCTCCAACGCATCTGCTACTGCCACCATTCTGGCCCAGATGCTCGTCCCCCCAGGTTGTTCACGAAGCAGCAGGTCGAGAATCTCTCGCAGGGGAGTGAGCACGGGTGGTAGTTGCACATGAACGGCGACATTCCCCTGGTCCAGCGTCTCCAGCCAGCGGATAATCGCACTCACATGTGGCGCAACCATGGCATAAGGCAGAAGGCTGTCCCCACTACGGCTTAGTAGGGTCCTAGCCATGCTACGGAGTTGTTGTGCTGCATGCGTTGCTGCGGCTGCCGGGCTGTTGTTGGCGGTGGGATCCCCCGGCATGGTTGCGTCTCAAGTTGGAGGGCCGTGGGGGTGTCGACCAGCAGGTCCACTAGTGCGGCGTCAGCTGCGTTAGCGATTGCTTCCCCGTGCCCCTGGGAGTCTTCGAAGGCTTGGGCCATGCGCCGAATATCCACCAGGGCTTGTTCCACCCGGTCCCACGTTCTGCCACTGCTGCTGCTGCGCCGTGGGTTGCTGGAGCTGCTAGCCTGCGCTTGCGCATGTGGTGCGGCGTCGGTTGCGGGGTGTGTTGAGAGGCTGTGTGTTGCTGTTCGTGTTGCTGCACGCGTCGTGTGGACGAGTTCGACATCACTGCTGTTGCCCCCATTTCCGGTGGGTCGGCCTTCATCTGGGGGGGTGGGGTTTGGCGTGGTGGGTGATTGGACCTCGGTCGCAGCTGTGTTCAGGGTGGGGGCTGTGTCATCGATTCGTGTTCCCCGCGTCAGCTGCTTGTTGGGCGTGCTGGTGTGCTTGCCTGTCTGCATCAGGCTCTGTGCGTCTTGAGGATCGGGCTCTGCATCATCAGTTGTGGGGATGGTGGTGGTGGTGGTGCTGGTGGTATTGTGCTCTGGCCGCTCGGTTTGTGTGGTTGTGGTGGTTGTGGTCGTGCTTTCGCGCTCTCGTGCTCCCCGTCGCAAGGTGCGACCGTCTTGTAGCAGCTGGGCGAGTGGTGTGGCCGCGGGGGGGGCTGCTGCTGGGTTACTGGGGGCTTGCGCTCTCGCTGGGATCTCCGTAGCTCCCTTCCATCGCCCAATGGCTTCTGTTGCGACGATGCTGCTGTGTTGGGTGCTGTCGTCGCCGGGGAGTCGGGTCTTGGTCTGGCCGTCGGGTAGTAGCTGCGCGGGGGCTCGTGGGAGGAGCTGGCGCTGGCCGAGGACACAGTTTCTCCCACCGGTGCCCGTGGTGGGTTGTTGTAGGCTTGCTGCATTGAGTGTGAGGTGTTTGTGTTGTCGGTGGGGCTGTGGTGGTACGTTCCCTCGCTTCGCTCCTCGGCGATGGTTGGCAGCTGGGATGCGGGGGTGGCGGGGGGATTCTGGATAGGGGTGCTGGGGCTGGAGCTGGAGCTGGCTGCTGTTGTGGCACTGGCACTGGAAGTTGCTGCTGCTGTTTGTTGTCGTGCTGCTTGTTGCTCTTGCTGTTCTTTGATGTCCTCGCGCCGCTGCCGCATTCGGGTGATCGTGGGGTGGCAGTCCTTGGACTGACTTTCAATGCGAAGTCGCCAGACCAGAGTGGCGGGATCTCGTTCGAAAAGAATCTTGTCCCCCACTGTCAAAAGCATGGAGGCAGCCTCGTAGTTTGAAAGTGCGGGGGTTGTCACCACCGTCAGGATCCAGCGGTGAGGAGTCATGGGTGCAAAGGTGGCTTCGAGTCCTATCGGGAAGGGGGGCGAAGACAGGGTGTCCCCCTCGTCTCCCTCGATGACTGTTCTGGGGATGCCAGCAATTCTGCGAATGCTGACCCCTTGGTCTGGGCGGACTTCCAGTCTCCAACATCCATGTGTGAGCTGAGTCAGGTCGGCATGGGAATTGGAGGAGAGGGGCACACTTGGTGGGATGTCGTCACCGTCTTCCCAGGTATGTATCACCTGGGACCAGAATGTCCCCTCCTGGTGAGCCGCCCACTCCTCTTGGATGGCTCGCTCTTCGGCCGTGAAGGCAGTGCCGTCACAGTGGGTGTCTTCTTCGTCGTTCGCGTCGGTGGCTGTAGGTTGTTGTGGCGCCTGTGTGGCCTCGGTTGCTGCTGCACGCTGTCCTTGTCCCCCTTCTTGGTGTGTGTCTGGTGTGTCGTGCTGCTGGAGGCGGGGGGTGACGTCTGTGAGTCAGGTGTCGTGGGCTTGTGGCTGCTGGAGAGTCCGTCTCGCGGCAGGAGGTGCTTATTGAGTAGTCCTGCGAAACGTTCACGAGCTGCTGTGTATTCCTTGGTCCCCCGCTCGGGCAGTGGGTTGTGGGCGCTGCTGCTACTGCTGCTGCTCGCGGGGGCACCAGCTGCTGTGTCTGCTTGGGGGAGGGGGGGGGGGGTTGCGGTTTGTAAAGCAAGCCCCAGCCTGGTCCCCCGTGCCTCTGAGGGGGGGGGCGCATCTGCCAGTTGCCGCGCTTGTTATGTTGTTTATATGTGTACTTGCCAGCTTTGTTCTTGACCCGTTGTGAGCCATGTCCCGCTGTAGCTTCGCTTCGGCGATTGGAGTT